GGTGGGCGCTCTGGGAGGCTGAGGCAGGAGGATCCCAAGTTCAAGCCCAGCCTGGGCAACTTAGTAAGACCCTGTCTCAATTTTTTTTTTTTTTTTTGGTACTGGGGATCGAACTAAGGACCTTGTGCTTGCAAGGCAGGCGCAGTGCCACTAAGCTAAACCCCAAGCCCTCTGTCTCAAAATTTTAAAAAGGCTGAGGATGTGGCTCAGTGCAAAGGCCCTGGGTTCAATCCCCAGTACCACAAGAAACCAAAAAAAAAAAGGAGGAAAGAAAGAACAAGCTGTTTTGGAGATGGGCTTTCAGTAGCCTTCTTATTTTTAGGTGTCTTGACTTTGCTGTTTCAGGAATATTTAGGGCCAAAAATATCTTTCCTCTAAGCTCAGATCTTACATTTGCCTGGTGGCTTGCAGTCTGCTGACTTCGCAGGGAAAGCAGGTGCACATCTGTTTCTGTGTGGTGCCCTGCTCTTGGGGCTGCACAACTGGGGTCACCACAGGCTCTTGTCACCCCTGTGACTCATGAGGAAATACACACAGCCTGGGCCCCAGAGTGAGGAAGTGGAAGAAGGGGCTTCGGTCCCAAGGCCCAGGGCATCTTCCCCCTGCCACCATGGTCTCTCCAGGAGCCTGAGTCCCTGACTGTGTCTGTTTCATGTCTGCTCCAGGGACAGTCTGCCCAGGACATCATGTGCTGATGGCCAGGCCTCTGCTGAGCAGAACCCGGGGACCCCAGCTCCCCTCATCTGTCCATTGCTGGTAGAGGAAAGAGTTCCAGCTCTGAGCCCCAGGGCAGAGGGGGAAGGGAGGGGACACAGAGGCCCTGGTCACGAGCACCCCAGACCCCGGAAGGTCCTGTGGCCTGTGAGTCACTGACGCCATATAACCCTCAGATCCTTCTCTCCACAGCCAGTGATGAACAATGACAAGCACTGCTTCGAATGCTATGGCTACGACATCATCATTGACGATAAGCTGAAGCCCTGGCTCATTGAGGTAACTGAGTTCCCAGTCACACCAGGCACAGCCGCCCTGGCCCAGGGTTCTCCCCTGCATCCAGCTTGGCAGTCCCCAGCCAGTGGAGACGGGGACAGGAGGATGGGGACAGGTGTCCAGCTCTGTGGGTCTGCAGGGGTCTGAGTTGACTTCGGTCCCTCATCCCCACCAGCCCCATGCACAGGGAAGGCACTGCAGTCCATCTTCCAGGGAGTCTGTGGGCTGGGGCACCGTGGTTTCTGGTTGGTCCCCACTTCAACAGTCTCGCACTGTCCCACAGAGCTGCCCTGTCCTCCTGGGGACGTCGTTCCCTGGAGAGAGAGGCGCTCACAAACCCTGAGGCCTCAGCCCACAATAGCGCACCATCTGGGGACAAGGAGTGTTCTTATTCTTCCACCTGCAGAAGGAAGTGGGTCATTTGCCTGTTTGGTTTTGGTTTTGGTTTTGGTTTTGGTTTGGGTACCAGGGATTGAATGCAGGACCTTCACTTTGAGCTACATCCCCAGTCCCCTCTATGGTTTTATTTTGAGATAGGGTCTTGCTAAGTTGCCCAGGGTGGGTTCAAATTTGTGATCCTCCTGGCTCAGCCTTCCAGGGTGCTGGGTCACAGAATGTGCTACCCCCTCCGCTGTCTGCCTGTTTGAAGGAGTAGAGGAGAAGGTGGGGCTGTTGCAGAAAGAGCAGGGTGCATGGTTCCCTGCACCTGATCCACAGCAGGAGGAGCCCCACAGTAATTACATTCGTCGTGGGAAGTTGGTAGATCTTCAGAATGCACTGTCATTGTTTTTACTTCCCCTTCCCTCTCTCCCTGTAGCAGTTCATCTTAACATGTGTATCATAAGAATTACAGTACAGTAATATACTGCAGAGGCAATTTTAAGGGCAACCAAGGTCCTAAAATCCTTTGGCCCTGTCTGCATTAGGTGCCCTCCTAGAGCGCAAAGACTACCTGGGAGAAACCTCTCATCGGCCCTGGTTTGGAGCAGCTCCCCAGGGCCATCAGAATTGAGCCTGCTGTAGGAGTGCCAGGGCTTGGGCCTCTCCCGGGCAAACCGCATCTAACCTGTGGGTTTCATGGCAGAGGCCTCAGGGATCAACTTCCCATGTGCTGGAGGGGGCCCTGGCTTCACCTAGACTCACTATACCGCTGTAGTTTTGCTCTCTTAGCAAACAAGGGCGCCATCTAGCGCCTTTAAACCCACACTGTGACCTGTGGTCACTGACCCTAGCAGACCCCGCCCTGCTCCTGGTACTTAGGGCGGAATGATCGCACGAAGGCACTGAGCTCACCTTTGCGATGGACAGGGCCCATTTCTGTGCATGATGGCTGATGTGTAGGTTGTGATCCTTAGCCTGTCTTTAAACAATATTTCCACCTCACGTAAAAGCCGATAAAAGTAGATCACAGGCTGCTTCCTGCGCAAGGTGCTTCAGAGCCATTAAATACAGGCATGATGGTGTACACCCATCAATTCCAGCACTCGAGAAGCTGAGGCAGGAGGATCACCACCAGTTTGAGGCCAGCCTGGGCTACGTAATGAGTTCAAGGCCAGCCTGAACTACAAAGTGAGACCTTGTCTCAAAACAAAACATGCACATGAAAGGCTGCGATCTTTACCTAAAGCGGGCAGAAGCCCGTGTTTTCTCCTGCAGCACATGTTTCTGTCCCTAGGGACCTGGAGCACAAGTGAAGAGTGTGTGTTTCCTCTCGCAGGTGAATGCGTCCCCGTCTCTCACCTCCAGCACTGCCAATGACCGAATCCTTAAGTACAACCTCATTAATGACACCCTCAACATTGCTGTCCCCAACGGCGAGATCCCTGACTGCAAGTGGAACAAGGCGCCCCCGAAGGAAGTGCTTGGCAACTACGAAATTCTGTAAGCCCATGGACTCCTCAGGTGTCCTTCTGGGGGCCGGGCTTCCTGGGTCGAGTGACCTTGCCTTGTGTGGGCAGAGTCCCACTGGGGACAGATGGCTCCTGCGGGGCTGACCCAGACCCATTTGTTCACGTGGTGTACCCAGGGGCCATGGGGACAGCAGGAGCAGGGTAGACACGGTGCGGGATGTGGAGGAGCTGTGGCTGCCGGGTGGGCCTCGGTCTGTGCACCTGGCACCTTGTGAAGTGGGCACAGCTGTTCGACTTAGAGCCGGGAGGAGGAAATGGTACTGAGCCCCAAGGGCTTCCGTTTCCTTAGCTTCATTTTACAGAGGAGCAAGCAGAGGCTTAGAGAGGTTCAGGGCCTGTGGAGGGACGAAAATGGGGAGGAGTGAGAGGCCATCGGGAGGACGGAGGTTACAGAAGGTGCCAAGGAGGCAGGTGCCCGCAAAGAGGCTGAGCTGGGGCTGGCAATGGAGCTGGTGGTGGAGAGCTTGCCTGGCATGTGTGAGGCCTGGTACCGTGAAAACAAAAACAACCTCCCAGAAAACTACCCCCATACTACAAAGGAGGGGAAGAAAAAAGGAAAGAAAAGAGCCTGGGTGTGGTGGTGCACGCCCGTATTCCCAGCACTGGGAAGGCTGAGACAGGAGAGACCTGAGGCCGGCCATGAGTTCAAGGCTGGCTGTGGTACATAGTGAGTTCAAGGCCAGCCTGAACTACACAGTGAGCCCCTGTCTCAAAAAGAAAAAGAAGAAACAAAGATAATAAAATAAAACAAAGCAGCAGGTTAAAAGCTCCACTTGTGTTGTTGAAGAGGAAGAACGACTGATCCCTCCCTGGACCATTGAGTTGTCCTCCTCCACTCCTGGGAAGTTGCTGAAGGCTCTGTGGTGGGCACTACCCATAGGTAAGGACCCCAGCCAAGGCAGTGGGGTGGCACTGAGTGGAGGGGAAGGGCCGGAATCTGCACAGTGGGACAGAGGCCACACAGGGCCACACACACCTGAGCATCTGTGCTGCTTTCTGCAGCTTTACAGCCAAGCAGACCTGCATCTGGCAGGCAGCCAGCCTTGGCAGGGCGGTGTGTGTGTAACTCAGGCAGACCCATCGTGGCCCTTCCTCTTCCAGCTGGATTTCTGGGGTGTACGGATAGAGTCGAGTCTGCCTGGGCTCAGTGGAGCATTTTTCCTTTTCCTTTGTTTTTTTCTGAAACAGTCTTCCTGTGTATTCCAGGCTGGCCTTGAACACACAACGATCCTCCTGCCTTAGCCTCCCCAGTGCTGGGATTACAGGCGCATGCTGTCACACCCGGTTTGAAGAGCATTTTTTAGGAGTGTTACAGTGTAGCTGGAACTTTAGAAGGGACCCTGGAAGTGGCAGATACAAAATGCTGGCCTTCTGTGACACCCAGGGCTGGGGACGATCTGGGGTGGCAGTGCTAGTGTGACCTGGGCATGTGAACTCACACTGCCAGCTTCCCATTCCTGTTGAGGTGCTCTGGGGGCTGCTATGAGCCCTGGGGGAGACAGCCCTGGGGGACAGGGGAGCACCCCACATCTGCCATATCCCAGCTCCCAGTTGGGGGTGATGGGAAGTCACCATGGAGAGAGGTGGCCGTGTTCTCTGGAACTGCTCCAGGTGTGGGTGACACCCCGCCTCCCTCAGGGACCTCAGGACCTGAGCCCACCACAGCAGAAGGGTAGGGAAGGCCGGGACCTGCCCAGGGCTGTAACCACCAGCCAGAGCCACCAGGCTCCAGGCAGGGAGAAGTGTGCAGTCCTGGGCCCCTCCTGGCAGGTTGCTGACAGCTCGTTCCTGTCTGAGATGGGTTAGGTGCTCCCAGAGGGCTGTCCCATGTTCCCTTTTCGATCCCTGCTGCATGCCGGCTGGTGGCCTGTTACAATGTCGCCTGGGAGAGGGCTCCACAATAGCATCGTAATCACATAGCACTCAATCTCGGTGGCCTTGGGCATCTCCTGAGCTGTTGAAGCCACCTGAGCAGCTGGCCTGTAGCTGCAGTGGGTGGGGACAGGACCCTGGGCTGGGCCAGGCTGCTTCTTGGTGACATCTTTGGTGCTGCCTCCCAGCGAGAGCTCCTGCTGACCCTGGAGACCTCTGTTTCCAGATACGACGAGGAGCTGGCCCAGGGGGACGGGGCCGATCGGGAGCTCAGAAGTCGCTCCGGCCAGACGCCCGGCCCCAAAGGGGGCCGCTCACGAGACACGGGGAGGACTGTCCTCACCACCTGGAAGTGACTCCCGGAAGTGACTGCCCAGAGCAACACCGGGCCCAGCCTGGCCTCTCCCTGCTCTGTGCCTGCTGAGGCCATTTCGGAATTCCCTTATTCTAGAGGTTCTCCTCCCCTGGGCTGTGTAAATAATAAAGGCACTTGTGTTTGGAAGGCTGAGGAGTCTTACTTCATCAAGCCCAAAAGGACAGACTCATGGAAATATATACAGTGAGCTCTCTTTTTTTCTTTTTTTTTTTGGTACTGGGGATCAAACTCAGGACCTTGCCCTTTCGAGGCAGGAGACAGAACCACTGAGCTAAATCCCTGGCCTGAGCTCTCTAGATGGTAGGTGACAGCTAGGCCTCTGAGCCAGTTTGTTATAAAATATTTGCATTTTTAATCCTCCTGCCTCAGCTCTTTTTTTTTTTTTGGTACCAGGGATCGAACTCGGGTCCTTCCGCTTTCGAGGCAGGCGGCGGAACCACTGAGCTAAATCCCCAGCCCTGCCTCAGCTCTTGAGTGCTGGGATTACAGGTGTGCACCACCACACAAGGCTTCCCCCCTCAGTTTTGTTATGGTGTTAGTTCTAAGATGTCATTTTCATGGTATTGTGTAGAGTACGAACTTGAGATCAATTTCTTCCCAGACCCTTGGTCCCCACACATGGACACGTGGACAGTGTAGACATTATACCACGTGTGCATGCACTGCGCCTGCGTGTTGTCTCACTGGCAGTGAAGGGGAAGGTTCTAAATGCATGGCATGGGGACAGAGAAGCCTCTGTACAGGTGACGTTTAGCCCAAAGTTGAAGAAGCTGTGGTTTGGGCAGGTGTGTCTGGTGTTCCGACTCGTGGTCGGGTTCGGCCGCATGTCGTGTGTCCCATGTGTTGGATGCTGCTTGACTGTGGCAGCTGTGGACTGGGTTGTCTGGGTCAGACTGGGCTTCGTGCCTGGCTCTGGTGCAGCTGTGACCTGCACTGTCCCCTGGTCTCTCTGGACCACTCCTGGACTCCTGGATTGTGAGTTTGAGGCCATCCTGGTCTACATAGTGAGGCTTTATCTCAAGAAATAAAAAAATAGGGGCCGGGGATTTAGCTCAGTGGTTCCATCGCCTGCCCTGCAAGCGCAAGGACCTGAATTCGATCCCCGGTACCAAAAAAAAAAAAAAGAAATAAAAAAATAAAGGAGGGGGTTAATTAATTGCAATACTGGGCCCAGAAATAACAAGTGCCACAGAGATACCTCCCTGCCTCACTCGGGTATTCGTCTGACTTTCCTCTTGGCCCTGGGGCCACCTTGGCTCCTGTTAAGTTTTACCAGCTTTTTTCTTTTCTTTGGTGTTTTTTGGGGGGAGGCTACTGGGGATCAAACTCCAGACCTTGCGTTTGCAAGGCAGGTGGCAGAACCACTGAGCTAAATCCCCAGCCCCTTTTTTTGGGGTGGGTTTTGAGACAAGGTCTGGCCTTGCACTCACTGTGTAGTCCAGGCTGGTCTCAAACTTGTAGCGATCCTCCTGCCTCAGCCTCCTGAGTGCTGGAATGACAGCTGTGGACCTCCCCAACCCTGCTTCTCAGGAGGAAGGGAGGAGGTGGAGCCCAAGAGGGCAGTGGTGTTGGTTTGCTGAAGGAGGTTGCTGGGGAGAGGGAGGCCATGCTGCATGGATCTGTTGCTCACTGATGGTGCCATGAGTGATGTCATGTTCTGGGGCAGATGTTTCCTCCTGATGCTTCCAGGACACACATGGGGAGGAAGTGTGCGGGGGCCCGCCCACCTTGGGAACTCGGGAGCTAGGGATTTCACTGGCCCCCTCTTTGGGACCGTTTGGTCAACTGTCCTGTTTTTCTGTCAGCTCCCAGGAGTCCTGATCTTTGCTGCTGGATGTTTTCCGGGACAAACTCATTGCCACCTTCATCCCATCCAGGCCACAGACCCCATGCTTCCCACTTTGTCCTCCTCTGCCTAGGCCACTGCCAGCCTTGGGCCAAGGGCCCCCATCTCAGGGAGTCACCCTCGTCTGAGCACTGTTTCCTTTTCCTTGTGGTACTAGAGATCAAACCCAGGGTCCCTCTATCACTGAGCTACATCGTCAGCCCTTTTTCATTTTTTAAATTTTAAGACAAGGTCTCATTAAATTGCCCAGGCTGGGCTCAAACAAGATCCTCCTGCCTCAGCCTCTCAGAGCACTGGGATTATAGACATTTGCCACCGTGCCCAGCTGCAACAGGCTCTTTCTAACACGTAGCTATCCTACCTCTGCACATCGTCATCTTCAGCATGCTCCGCCAAGGCCCCTGTGCACCAGCCTCCACTTCCCCTGCTCTGTGCCCTGTGAGCCCAGCCCCAGGCTGTGTGGGTCATTCTTCCCCCAGGAGCCTGGCAAACGGCCTTCTGGGGCCACTTGTAGCTCTGCTGCTAGGCCCCCGGCTCTGGTCCAGGGAGGCAGGCCGGGTCTTCTGTGGACCCTGCTTTAGGGACCCTGGCCAGCTTGTGGGTGAGTCCCGGGGGTCCATGTGCCCCACAATGTGGATGGTGTCCATATGGAGAGCACAGGGTGTTTCAGGACCCTTCCAGAGCCCGCCAACCCCATTGATTTTATTTCTCACTTAAGAGGCTGTCTTCAGGTAGGAGGATGCTTTTATGGCTTTTCTGATTTGTCCTGACCTCAACCTTATTGTATCTCAAATGCTTTCAAGTTAAAAACTATTCTTTGGGAAAGTGGAAGGACATCCCCTGTTCCTGGGTAAGAAGAACCAATGTAGTGAAAATGGCCACACTTCCCAAACTGCTGTACAGGCTCGCTACAATCCGGATTGCAATCCCAACAGCGTATTTCACAGAACTAGAGAAAACAATCCAAAAGTTCATCTGGAACCAGAAGAGACCTAGAATAGCAAAAGCAACTCTAGGCAACAGAGACATGGCAGGGGGTATCACAGTCCCCAACTCGAAACTCTACTGCAAAGCCACTGTGATAAAAACAGCATGGTACTGGCAAAGAAACAGACCCGAGGATCAGTGGAACAGATTAGAAGATGCAGGCACAACTCTAGACACACTCAGCCACCTCATCTTTGACAAAGGAGCCAACCATCCTCACTGGAGGAAAGATGGCCTCTTTAATAAATGGTGTTGGAGAAACTGGATTTCAACTTGCCAAAGATTAAAACCAGACCCCTGTCTGTCACCATGCACTAAACTAAAATACAAGTGGATTAATGATCTAAATATTAAAACAGAAACACTAAACTTGATGGAAGATAAGTTAGGTAAAACTCTCGAAGACATTGGCATAGGAAAAGACTTTATGAACAAATTCTCAGCATGGGAACTAGCACAAAGGATCAACAACTGGGATCTCATCTTATTAAAAAGCTTCTGCACAGCAAGAGAAACCACCAACAGAGCTAAGAGACAACCTATAGTGGGGGAAAAAATTTTTAGCAGCTGTACCTCAGACAAAGGTCTACTATCAAGAATATATAAAGAACTGAAAAAAATCAGACCACCCAAATTCAAAGACCCAGTTCAAAAATGGGCATCCGAAATGAACAGACATTTCTCAGATGAAGAAGTAAAAGCAACAAATAAATGTATGAAAACATGTTCAACATCACTGGTTATTTGAGAGATGCAGATGAAAACAACAGTGAGATTCCACCTCACCCCACAAAGAATGGCTGCTATCAAGAAATCAACCCTTCGATCCCCGGTACCAGAAAAAAAGAAAAACACAAAGAAATCAACCAATAACAAATGCTGGTGGGGGTGTGGGGAGAAAGGAACCCTTCTCCATTGTTGGTGGGAGTGCAGACTGGTGCAACCACTGTGGAAATCAGTATGGAGATACCTCAAAAACTAGAACTAGAGGTCCCATTTGACCCAGCTATTCCTCTGCTGGGTATCTTCCCAAAAGAATTAAAAGAATCATAGCACAGTGATATACGCTCACCCATGTTTATAGCGACACAGTTTGTAATAGTTAAAACTTGGAAACAGCCCAATTGCCCATCAACTGGAGACTGGATAAAGAGGATGTGTTTTTTTTTATAAAATGGAGTACTACTCAGCCATAAAGAATGAGAAACTAGAGAAATTTATAGCTAAGTGGATGCACATTGAGGCCATACTCTAAGTGAAATAAATAGGACACACGTGTAAATACTGAATAATTTCTCTAGTATGAGAAACTGAAAGTGTGAATAAGGACTAAAAGGTATAATGGATAATGTGAAATAGGAAGAAAAAGGGCAAAGGGGAGGGGGAAATGGGAGGGGTAGGGGGAAGGAATGGAATCAATATGAGAAAATGGAAACAAAGTTTTTGTAAATAGAGAGAGATGGAGGGATTGAAGGGAGGGCAGGGGAAGGGGGAAAAAATAAGACCACGATGCATCATGTATAGGTACAAGATCTCAATGATGAATGTAACTATATTGTGTACCTAAAATGTACCAATAAATAAACTTAATAAAAAAAACTATTCTTTGGGAACACATTCTATTTTAGAAAATGAACTATCGCCTGACTCTAGAAAATAAAGCCAATTAAGATCTTAAAAATAAAAATGAAAAACAATGGGAGCCAGGTATGGTGGCATAATCCATTATCCCAGCATTCTGGGAGGCTGAGGCAGGAGTATCACAAGTTTTGAGCCCGGCCTAGGCAACTTGGCAAGACCCTGTCTCAAAATTAAAAATAAATTTAAAAAGTGGCTGGGGATGTAGCTCAGTGCAGAGGCCTTGGGTTCAATCCCAGTACAAAAAACCAAACATGACAACCCAACCCTGGAAGCTGGGGGCATAGCTCAGTGGTGGGGCGCTGGTCTTGCTTGCACAAGGACCCGAGTTCCATCACCAGCGAGGTAGGGGGCACGGCCTTCAGTCCAGAGG